ATATACCAGCTGAAACAGCTGATGAACGAAGTGGAAACTTCATGAGATTGATTTAAATCGACCAACCAGAACTAATGTTGAATCTGTAGTTGAGAAAACTCGTTCTTTTTTAATCAAACCGCAAATATCGCATAATCTGATCATGGCAAGAGTCACATTTCAAACTAAGTCGCAATCGAATTGCAAGTCGGATAGAGTCGAGTCTTAGAATCATCAGTGATAATCTCCGTCTCGTCAGACTGCTGGAAACAGTCACAGAAAGTAACAGATATTTGAGTTTGTGTTAAGTTCATTGGCCAGTGACAGTGCGGAAGTGGATGAAGCAACTGGATCGGCCACTTGCATGAGTCTAAGTAAAACGGGGGCCAGAAGGCACACAACTGTGACATCAGTTTGTTTCAATTGTATACGATATTGCATTCAATCCGTGAGGTGCTACCTAGGATTGGTGTGCGGGTAGACCGAGGCACCAAGTATGGTCACGTGGTCTAGTTAAAAATATCATTCTCTCAATCTCAGAAAAAGAACTCTTCCTTGCACCCCCTTAAGCTCACATCTTTTAGCGGGAATTCAACTTTCCTACTTGTACTCATGTCAGTAGACCAATTACACTTGGTCGAAAATTTTCCGGACCAAAATCCTATAAGATGCAGGTGAGACCTCCAAATAACAGCTTTGTTTTACACTATCTGGCTTGCTGCAGCCAGATTTACTTTAATTATATTGGATGAAGAAAACCTCAGGAAGCTCCTAGCAGGTATCAAATTAAGAGGCCCTTCCAAATGCTCCTAAGAAGGTATACATGTCCCTATTCACGTTTGTCTTCACGGGTTAGAATTCGAGTGGTGGATTGGAACAGTTTATGTATGGGACGTTTATTCACAAATGTCCACAAAACGTAAGCGAACTAGTTGACTAAACACGTTCAGACAGATATTGTATTGGACAGCGATTGTAAAACAACAACGATTGTCATCAAGTTTCCTAACCGTGATGTTAGGGTTGCAAAGGTCATCGTATATTTGTTTGTGTACGAGCCGTCATTATCGACAGTGATTGTAAGGAGGACGATGGAGCTAGTCGCGGTCACGTCACTGATAAACGATTCGTACTTGCGTTAGAATAAACAGGAGCAATAACCTCGTGCAATGTTAACCGCGCGCAGAATGGCGATGGTATGCCAATTTCATTTAATCACTACAATGGAATGGGCTGTTGAGACTTGGTGTGACAGTCACGCTCGAAAAAACCTGGAATCCACTTTTCCTCCGGAAGAAACGACCTAGCTCAACTGACAATCATTGTATGCGGTGCGAATATCACGTACTGTTTGTATTCACACATTGTGAATACAAGAGTGAGAGTGTATGAGGAGCTCTCCCAAAGATTTCCTGCAAATAGTGATGTCCGACAAGGATGTCTAGTCTCCGTTTTTACTAACTATCGTCACTATGAATTGACGAGACAAATTCTGGAGGGCCTTAAAAACTCTGGTGTTAAGATCTCCCTCAGCGAGAACCTTATCGACCTATAATATGCAGACGACACTGTTTTTAGTTTTGAAAAAGAGCAAGAGGCGCAAGCATCACTAATAAAGCTGATCACGGTCACCTAGTCCTTCGGCCTGCGCTCCATGCCCACAAATTGCGGAGTCATGCCCTAGGACGTACAGCATTTGATCACATCTCTCGGAATTCAAGCAGCGACACTTGAAGCTGTGGAAGCCTAGACGTAGCTCGGAAGTTGCGTTAGCTGTGACGGTAATGTGACAGAATAAGTCAACGCATGAATCTTGAAGGTACGAATTGGTTTCGCCATCTTCCGCAAATTGTGACGTGGTGAGATATGTTAGCTGTGTCATTATTGCTTTGAACACAGTTTCGGTGTGTTCGCAAGCACTGAATACTTAATAATGATTGCAATAAATGAACTTCATCGAATCTGGACTTCAGATATTTGGTTAAAAATAAAATAGTGATCAGATCCAGGTCTAATCAGCTCACACTATTTCAGTGTGTTGAAGATGTTGCACACAGGAAAAATGATAGTACTGTTCCGTTCTAAAAGGTGCTTCTGGCTCTGGAGCGATACAAGTTCTCTCATTATATGGTCTTCATTTTTATCTAGCCGGATCAGTGTGTCTGGACTGCTACTATCTTGTCCACTCTAGGGCAATCATCATCCTAAGAATAAAGTGTAATGTAGCACAGCACTATGAGGGGGAAATATGTGTGCCTGGTTTTCACATCGTTAACTTTGTCCGCCGATCACCCAAGAATGACTAATTGTGGCAAGTTGCAAATTAACAACCACAGGGTGGATCGGACAACTGTATCAACGAGCTTATGGGTTTATGCCGAGCTGGTTGATGGTGCAAGAGGGAGTACGCATAACCACAAGTAGTGAAGGTTAAACAAGCAGTTTAGCAACGCATTGGTGGAAAAATCTCCCACGGTGGCATGCTTGGCAATAGCTAGTAGACACATTATTTGAAAAAAACTAATGGAGATGAGCCTGGCATCTAAACACTACAGGAAGACTCTGACAGAGCATGATGAAGGAGGCAGTATGAAATCGAAACTAATTTTTTGACAAAAGAAAAATCAAGTGTGCCCGAAAAACTCAGTCTAAAATTTGACTGCAGGTCAGATGGATTTCTATGTGCCGGGACAGGCGTTTAAATCAGAGTGGTGCCTCAGTAGCTGCAAGTTTAGCAGAAACACCACCATGCCATTCATAAGTTGAAGCAAGGCAGACAAAGTGTTCATCTCAGCCTCATAAAAGTTCCGACTCAGATAGAATTCAAAATCTCCCCTAACTACCTTAACGGCGACGCTACTTTACCGAAATTTTTCATAATGTTCGTTTGACATACACGAAAGTTAGTGGCAATGAGCTTACGGTGGATAAAATAAACAGCTCGGGAAACTACACATTAAGAGAAAGTTCGAAGGACATTGTCCCTAACGAACGTCGGACCGGCGCAGTGCAATGTGATACAATATGTCGCAGAAAAACTGATGAAATCTTGATCTAGCATGTGTTGTCCGTTTACTTGTTCAATTAATTTATGGAGAATACAACACCGTAGTTCCTAATTTGCCGACACAGCCTCACTGCACTTCACAGTTCCAAACGTGTCCCTGTCAGCCTATCCTGGTGTCTGTCTGTGTTCATGTAGTAATTCACCTGTTTCGGCGTTGGACAGAACAAAACAGGCCTAAGAGAAACAGCCCGCACTTGCCAGGTCACATAAATAACCAGATAAACAACAAAAACAGCATCCGGGACCCAGGAACTTCCTTATCCTCTTCTGGATGGTGGTACGCGATGCCCACAATAAATTAACTGGGTAAGTTGTAGCCCACTGTTATCCTCTCCCAGAGCGTGCACGATCGCGGGAGTTGAATGCGTGGCGTCGAACGGGCTTGCTGGTGCAGGGTACTGGGTGTGCGCCACGAGTCGAAATGTTTGGGTGGTTGTGCATCATCACCAAGTCATGTGAAATGTAAACGACGAGTGAAAAAAGGGGTACTGGCAACGATCAGATGTAACATAAGAATGAGTCAGGGAACCGACGTTGCACAAAATTTCTGTGGCCACGAGGGATGTGGACTGAAATCAGACTGTGTAGAACGAATGGTGATCAGCAAATTTATTTTCCCGAACCCAGCTTATTTAGGCCCGTAAAGAAAAAGGGACCTTCTACCGATTCAGATGTATCATACTCATACACATTTCCTTAGAAGGACGAACGAGAAAACGAACCAGCAAAGCAGAGCTAGTTCTGTATCCTGTACCAGTGATGCAATTCAGTACCACGTAGTACACCAAAAAACGGGTGCGAGCGCGTAACACCGTTTATTACTATTGCACAGCTCACACATTGAGATGGGTAGCAGTGCTTTAAGGGGGCCATCAGTTGAGGCCTCTGAGTTGAGTTAGTTTTTCGACATCGCCAGACAAGCACATACAGTCAATAAACATACATACAGAGCAGCTCTTATCAATGGTCTTTTGTGCTGTGGGCACCTCTGAGTTTTGGCCAGCCAGCCAGATACTTTCCACAGTTCACAGAAGTTTTCTTGTATAGGTTCAGTGGAAGCCGTCCCATTTATGAAAGGCAGCGGCTGTCATGCGATACCGACTCTTCTAGAACACGCATTTCAGTTAACCTCGCCAAGGAGAATGGTCATACCCGAAGGTTGTCTAGTTTTCATTTTACTGTATATGACAAGAATAGCGATAGTTATACATGTGAAGGAGATTTCAGGCTAAACTTTTGAATGCTTTGAAGTAACTGCCTGGCGATATCTAGTGGTAGCGTAGCCCTGATGGTGAATCGTCATCACTTCGCCTCCAAGTACATCATATTCTAAAAGTTCAGTTCATCTCAATCCCGCACAGTGAGCAAAATTTGTGTCGAAATATTGGGAGCTCTGGTAAGTTTATTAAGTGTTGATCAAGTGCAGGTTGATCGTTTGTTGATCAATTGCCAAGCTCGTCGAACAGATCAACAGCCACCTGAACAACAACCAGATAGCTGTGTGTTGCGTAGTCCACTGTGTGATTGATCACTCACCATTTGGATATGACGTTCGTAGGGAATGTGCAGCGGTGTTCACCTAACCGGCGTTCTCCTTATCCACAGACTTTCTGCAGCCTACTACTCATCATTACCCACAGTACCCATCAAAAAGTCAACAGAAATAACGACATGAGGTAGTTGGTTACGGCAATTAGACGGATTTATGTCAGAGTGTTGTAAAATGAAGTTTCCACAATATCGACAGTGTGCATTGGGTGAGAACTTTTTTCGTTTTCGTACATTCGATGATCAGGTGGACCTGCTTATTTCCGAGAACCAAGATTGGAAATTAGTGACCATAGGTGAGAAAACCTCATTCGGGTGATAGCGAATCGTTCGTTTGGTAGACTTGAGTGGCCCAGACTGAATGGATTTTAGAGACATCAGTAATGACCAGGGAAATGCCAACAAAAACTTCAGGATCACCCCAGGAAGTGACCCCATATAATTGATTTATGCACCGAGTGGTTCTGCCACGATGGAGGCAGTATCTTGACCATCTGTGAAGCCATTGGCTTCGGCGCCGCAATAAAATAGCTGTTTTGTCCTTATACAGACGGTTTCCCAGGATTTGGAACATAGGCGGTGATTGAAAACTCCATGCCCGGGTGATTTTTCGTGATGAGCTAATGGGGTATGCACGCGTGATGCCAACCGTTCCGTCGTAAGACTGAAATCAACCGCTCACACTATCAGATTTCTTCATAAGTGATTAATGGATCGAGGGAGCGATCGGCTGTCTGTCTATCTGCCGGCCTGCTCAATGTGCGGGCCAACTGTTAATCTGGGCACACAAAAGCTCATTAGAAGAAAGAACATTTTTTAGTGAGGGCCTCACACAACTCCAGTTTAAACGAACTCATCTAAGGCCTTTTCCTGCAACCATGTATCAAGGCTAAGCAACGGCAACCACTGATACTGAGGATTCAGTTAACTAATCATCGTTTGACCGAAGAGCGGAATAATCTGCCAAGAGAAATGCGGTGAAACAATTGTTGGGTTTGTACCTTGTCCACTGAAACTGACTTGGACAAGCAAGTGACTATTTGCTGCTATTCACTCCGATTGTGTAATCCGCGACCTGTCTTCAGTTCAGTAAACAAGCAGTAAGGGATCGGTAAAGGTAATAAATGAGAGCCCAGATATTCAATGCTCCTTAGTCTAAACATAGTCATTAACGGTTAATCTGGTTCGTCCGATTAGGGTGGAACAATCTGTATGCAGATCTGAAAAATAAACAATCTTGTGTAGACTGCCATAGTCATTAACGGTTAATCTGGTTCGTCCGATTAGGGTGGAACAATCTGTATGCAGATCTGAAAAATAAACAATCTTGCTGTAGACTGCTTCATAAAATCATCCGGTACAAGGGAACCAGACATAATAAACACTCATGCAACAGGGAGACCTACTACATTCAGACCAACAGAAAATCCACGAGCAAATGTCCCAGGAGATCTGCCTCACAGTCACAACGTCAATCTGACTATATATGACGCCCTACTGACCGCATATTTGTGAACACAACTCCGTTGCGCGAAATTAGACCAATTCATCAGTGATTCCCGCAGTGGAAATGGAGAATCGCAGTAATAAAAAAAGAAATATTAAGTGGAAACAATACGAAAAACAAAATATTTCCGAGTTCTGTCATGGTGACATTCCGCTTTTTCGAAACAGGAACTATGTGTCCATCTACTCGTTTTTAGCCCATGCAGAAAGCAGCTAAGTGCAAGCATCGTTAAGCATTTGCAATTCTCACCGCCAGATACACACGATTATATCGAGGATGTAAGCACAGAGATCACACAATGCAAGAGTAATCTCACATTTGAGACCATTTATGGTTTTTCTAAGTTCTGAATGAATAATACTATCGACTGAGGAAATCGGATGTCAGAATTGATTCACGTGTTTTTGGAACTTATGGAGTGTAACTGAAGCGATAAATATCAAATCTTGCTGCTTCTGGAGGAGAAACCATGACTACCGACTTGTAAGTTTAGTATAGTGTCTACGTTTTGCCTGAATTTAAAAAAAAATTCGTACGGCAAAATTTTCTCTCTGGGAAGTTTCCTTATGAGGGGGGTCGGTACTGTATAATAGGACTGTCAGGGAGCACGATAGTTCCGTTTATTCAATTAAAGCTAGATAGACAGCAATTTTGAAAAAAGTCACTATACCATCCCTAAAAGGCAGTACCTCAGGAAACTTGATCAAGATTTGTCAATCGCCTCAAACGACTGACGATATAAGCAGTTTTGTAACGCCGTCCTGCAAAAAAGGCAAACATCAACACCTGTCACCTTTTCTCACAACGTGTCACAAGGTTGCCATATAGCTGGAAACAGGGTAAATGTATCTTGTGACGACTGACTACTCAGTGAGGTTAAAATATTTGCCGAAAATATGGATTGCATCCTACAAGTGAACGATGTCGCCCTGTAGGAACCGTGCAAGTCGTTTGAATAGGAGTATGAGCATTCTATCAGTCAGATAAGATTGGCCTATCAGTAGTGATCTGAAGTTGCGGCTGGAAGGCGAACAACACCACTCATCCTTCGATCAAGCCCCAGTCTCGATAGGACGTTCGGCTATTGACCTCTCCGAAATAGACCTATGTGAGTTTGGGGCGTTTTCCTTCCCTTGCGCTCCTTATTAGAGTCTCTCAGTACAACAGAATTAATCCAGATAACTCTCTCTGTCGTCCGGCTGGGTGCCACGGTTTATGTTTATGGGAGCTTGTGTGGCTTGTTATTGACGGCTTCAAACATGGTTTGTTGGGTTTTGTGTTTGCACGTACTGTTGTTTCATGCCTAAAGTGCATTGTATTACAACAATTCCACTGGAGTTGGCAGTACGATGTTATATTATATTCTGTTGTATCCTGTCGTCTAACACCATGTTGAATATTGTAGTGTTTACCATTCTGATCTATGATTTTGGTTTTATTAGCAGAGGTATACATATACATTATATATACATCACATATATTTATGCAGGCAACCCGTCTTAACACTCTTGATCATTCGGAATGTTAAGCCCATAACGGTGCTAGAGGTAACTCTGTGATCAACACCATTCAGGCTAACATTATGATGGCTCATACCGTATGGGTGTGCCTGGAATCTAGATACTTTAGTGGTTAAGGCGCTAACTTACAGTCGAATTCAACCATATCACCTCGACTGCTACTATCCACATTTGGGCAACCTGGTAGTAGTAGAGCCTTCGTACTTCCTTGAGATGGTATGGAAGGTAGACATCAAAAGGGTGTTACATCTGAACGATCAGTTTTATTATTTTATTTATGTGCGCCTGAGTGCGTCTCATGAGTGATGTGGGCCACCAGATGAACTTGCATACATTGTGTCTCAACTGTACGGTTGTTCACACACGGCTATTATGGGCGAGCAATTAGATATGCGAATGCCTCCACATGTCCACCCTCTGATCTTATTCCCTCGGGTTTACACCTGGTACATGGCGTTAAGGCAGATGCACATGCGCCTCAGCGCACACCGCATGCGCAGGAGTCCATCGGCACAGTTCGACTTGATGCATGCTAGCTCGCCATGTGCGTATACTTTGCTTGCCTAACTCTGTACCACCTATCAGATTGCATGGCTAAACCAACGGACCCAACTTCGTTAGATGACCAACGATTCACGACTTTCCATGCCCCGGTACGCATTGTTGAGAGGGCGATGAAAACAAAAGATGGCTGGAGGTGGTAAAAGTGAGCACTGACACCAGGGGCCTACAACCCGCTTATGGTGCGTGTCGGCAGAAACAACAGTGAATGGATATATGTGCCAAGCTCGCTTCCGATGCCCGACCGTGGGGAGGGACATTCCATGTCATCAGGGGAACCAACGCATCTCAGATAACTCGCCTCAACTGAACGGATGAATACCCAGTACGTCTCAGTTAAAAATGTGCAAGAGAGTTGAACATGTAGGATATCCGTAATGGTCGATGAACAACTCCAACACAGTCTGACAAAAGCTAATGAAAACACCCTAATCCTATCTAAGGGCGGTCAGTGTGGATAACGGTTCTCTGAACCTCCCTAGATGAAACATGCTAAAGAGAGATCCTGTTATCCCCTGAGATGTTTCCTCCTTGGAGAATCGTTAGCACTTCACCACGAAGCAGAGGGTGTGTCGCGCCCGTTATGCATAAAAGACATTGACATGGGTGACACTTAAGAACTGTTCCATGCATATCACTCCCAAATGGACTATATACGGGAAAATTTAACTGTTTCAATTGCTCGCTGTTCCTAATTGGCTTTTCACGTCGGCTTTAATCAAGCCAGTCAATGCGCACGACATTTTACAGTTTTTACAACACCAACATTGTGGGATCGTAGGACTACTGTAAGAAAAAATGTTCAACTGTAGGGTTCGGAAAACCACTCTTTGGATGCAAGTCTTACCTTAACCTGACCGCGCAACAGGCTGGTTTCGGATTGTCCGGTGCGCAAACATACAGTTTTGTCCACCTCCGTCGAACCATCTGTCTTTTGTAACTGGTAATTTTGTTCAGTGACCAGAACATCTAAATGTGCACGTAGGGCTTGTTCAGCAGCCATGTGACTCTCCAACGCCAGGCGGTTGGCGTGAAGCTCTTTTTCAAGCAGATACAGGCGAGCGTTGAGATCGGCTCGCTCTTCTTTCACGTGACATAACTCCTGAAATATAATTAAGAAGGACTAAGTGTGAGTGAACAACTTGGACTGTAGGGAACTAACGGTCGTTTAATGTTCCGAAAAAAGTTTACACAATATAGCGCTGTAATGAAATCGCAATCTGTGCCTGACCATGTCCCGTAGAAGTTCTAGTATTCCTTGGTGAAAGGTGCACACGTTTATTTCGAAAACGTGTCGAATCTACTCTTTCATGTAATTCAGTTGCAGTTCGATAAGTCTCAAATCACGAATAGTCTAAGACGAAGCCGACCTATACTTTAACAGAATTACTTCGAGCAATTCGTTCATCAAGAAATCCTGAGGGCTCGTTTGCTGCCAGTGCTGGCGGTTTAGCTGAGAGGAACTCATAAATTCAGCTAGGCAAATGCATTCGAGATAGCCACAACAGACAAACAGATCCAATTGTCTACCTGGAAGAGGCACCTCCGAAGAGACGGTACTCTTTGACGGAAAACATTAGAAAACATTTATTAAGCAGCCCTCCCTCAGTAAAATAAAACGGAAACCCCTCTTCCTCGTTGTGGTCTCCTGGGAGGCTACTGTACAGTTGTCTGGGGATATCTAAAATAGGGAAAGGTGGCACTGAACTAATCTAATGAAAAATAGTTGAAGCCAGACTCAATCCACCAAGAACCAAGCAGCAGAAAACACCCTTACATTAGAACCTGTGAACCATCGAAGCCACGGAGAATTTCTCTCTCATCTCAGTTGAATGGACTTGGGTGTCCGAAATGCAAAGAACAACGTTTAACCGATCTAATTGGAATAAGCGGGTAAAAGACACTGGGGCATCTCGCCAATGTGACTAACAGAATCATGCCTTTGAACAGACAAAAGGAACGTGTAGTTCGGAATCAATATGTGGACTGTTAATACAAGGGTTTGAAGGATAGCTGGGTACATGATAAGCTAGCCACAATCGAAATACTAATCGCTCACTTGTAACAACACCGAGCTTTCGATTAACACGTTGAGGGATAGTTTCCCCAGTGACGATATGGCGGATGACTGCAAAAGAGGATGGTTGAAAAGTTATGGCTTCAGTTTTCTATTCGTGTGATTTGAAGATCAAAAAATAGAAAACATGGTCGATATGAATAATGGTTGTGTTTCCTTAAATGATGTGTTGCTCAACTCATTGTCATGTCTCGGTTGCACAAACGTAGGCGCCTTCATAATCACTTAAAGTAATGGAGTTGGACGGTTCGAGTAGATTTGCGTGATTACTGAACAGTGATTTATTGATGTAGCTTCACTGCTATTAAAGGAGCTGGGATATTACAGTGCGCCACCAACTTTGTTAGCAACAAGAGAAAACATTGACTACTTCATGTGATATACTTTACCTGAGTGTCAGTACGCCACAACACTGCCTTGTGTTTTACTTCCTCGGGTGCCACTGCGCTTTCATTACCTGTTTAAGTAGTACCAAAAAGTACTAACGAAGATGCAACACAAGCACCAATGTAACCTGTTCAAGCAAATCTCCTGACATATTAGGAGCCGATCAAGCCAAGTTGTAAAAGTTTGGTGAGGTTACCCAACCTCAAATGAACAGGCACTGGACATGAGGTCACACACACGCACTATTGGACACGATGATTCATTTTGAACTAGACTGAACAACGACGCATACCAGATGGATTACATTGACACAACAAAATTGCCTTAGTTCTTCTGTCTAGCCAGAAAATCCCAAACAACAATTATTTTGATAAAATAGCTACTTTATAGTATACTGGTGGTTGCCTAACTCCAGAATACGAATGCAACGCGTCCCAAACAATAAAAGTTTCAGTGCACCGAACAACAAAATTTACTGGCATAATTCACCACAGTAACAGGGTTTTCTCATCATGTTAAAATTTAATCATATTATGACACAATGAATTAACTGATTCTACTCAATTAACTAGCTGTGCCGAGTCCGGGGTGGTAGCAGACCACCAGTAGCCACTTCCGTCACTGAGTGCAATCGGTCCACATAAAAGCGTTGCTGCATTCAGAAACAGAGAGACCCATTTATGCAAGCCAGGAAATTCAAATTAAGGAGACCGTCTAGACCACCCATGGAAATGTCAAACCACAGTCTGGAAAGATATTGGTTCCATTGTCAATGCGAAACAGAAGTAAAAGCATTGGATCCCCTGATCAGTTTGAGCAGTGCAGTGAGAGCAGAAAGGTTCCACAGTAAATACGATGCAGTCCGCAGCGTTTTTATGTCTCTAAAACAATTAGGCCATTCAATAAACCCAGGGCATTTTAGAGTGATACTTAGGTCTTTCTAATTGCCCGGGGACACTGTGTTTGGCTCTTTTAAAACTCCCCAGCACACCACTCCTTCAGCCGTAAATTAAAGCAGGATAAAACTCCATTTTGGACGCCTTGGTCACGAGAAAAATCAACGACACTTTGCACCGTTCAGGATATGGATAACATAAGTGGACCAGATAGTACCTGAACTTTACTGCCTTTTATGCGTTAAAGTACAAACTTAAATTAATGCTTGTTTTTATCCATAGAGCAAAGGTGATTTGCAACTCGGATACAGTAACGTAGGAAATCAAATTACTCAAAGATACATTGCTCCACTGAAGAACACAAATCTCGGTGAGATAAAGCGAAAGTGCCACTCGATGTTCACTACAGTGGTGATCATGCTGTTAACCTACTTAGACGGATAGTGGGCCAATCCTTTCACTGGAATCGCAGTACAGCACAGTTGTGTGCGAAAGCATATACACGATCAAACTCCATAGCTAGGCAATGAAATATGTTCTGCGACAAATCGCACGAATGAGTGGAAGATGGATACAGGCCGTCAATCAGAATGTCAGAGGAGCAGCACACTCAACGAGTTCGGAGTCCGTTCATTTAAGAAATTAACTATACAAATGATCAAATGGATATGCATGGACACACCGACGAAAACATTCACCAAAAAGTAAGGCGAAGCTCTTCGTTTTTAGACACTACTGCTGATGTTAAATTTCGGCTAAATTGTTCAGATTGCGCAACTAAGATTTGATACGAAAGGTTTTCTGACGGGCTGGTGTTTGCCAGTATACGGCATGTACTCAGACAAGAGTGAAGAGCTCGCACATCGATCTTTCAAATGATCAGAAGACCTAGCCATATTCCGTCTGACGATAGCGTGAGAGTATGCGGCGGATGATGGCTATTCCTAGATCGATGGGTTATTATATCGGTTTGAAATTGACCACTTATCTAACACGAATTGGTCGGCTTACTGTCATTCATTTTAAACAGATTTTCCTATTTCCATCTTTCCTGTCGAACCGTGCTTCATGTTGAACAGACTTCGCCTGATTATTTCAACCGGTTCATGGCTTTCTGATTTTGTGAATGAACTCCAATTTTCCACATAACTATGGAAGTAAGATATATAATCGCTACGGACTTCAGAATTGTTTTGTCACCCCCCAGTGCAAGTGGAAGTACGTGCCTTTTGCTTTTTTCTAAATACTTCGTGGAAGAATAAAATTGGCCCATCCCAGAACGCTTAACATACTCTAGTGATACAGATGAATTATTGTTCTATAAAGTAACATACAAGCTCGGTATATTATACCCCGCTCCAGAAAACGAGAGTCACCTTTTTGGTATACTGCGACGTTGTTTTTCATCACTTTGCCATCAAAGTTGGGACAACAAGGTACAGTTTAAACTCTATGCATACGGCAATCTATCAGGGCGCAAAGCACGCCGGGTCGCTTTTCCAGGAACTACCACTAATCCTCCACTTGATAAGTATCGATCGTAAAAAGTTGTTGGCAGAAATCAAAACTCAGGAACATTCACCTGACAATTGTCGGTAGGCTAGCGAAACCACTGAGTTATGATTCGCACCTAAATTTCCATTCCTGGGGTATAATGTGGATCATGACATTGGTCTTTGTCACCTTATGACACATTAGGGTTCATTAGCTTGGGCATGAATTTCTGGAATGCGGAATTTACTAGTTCACTCAAGATTGTTGACAGTTTCCCGACTCTGGAAAGACTAGCCGAAGAGACTGACCTGGGATGATTTCTTGTGGAATGAACAACCAATGAGATTTGCTAACTACCCATCCAGAAAGTTGTAGTATTTGTGCGGAAATATGCGAAGGAATTATTCGAGTGTAACTGCAAGACACTACTTTTGGCCTAGACACTTTGACGGGCGATAGTCTCAAAGTGTATGGACGCCAAACCGAATTCCGCATTCGAAGCAAATTTTTCTCAAATATAAGCATATCTTAACGCACGCACCAATATTTTGAGATTTGCCACGTTGTGGAGAATACCAAGTGAGGAGTGCAGCCTCCAGCAGATTTGCCTCACTGACCTTCCTGCAGCAAACAACCACTCTGAAACTGACAGTATTCGTGAGTTAACTAAGGCAAGGGCTTGGAAACAATGAAACGTTGCACTTTTGTGCAAGCCCCAGGGGAAAAAGGGTCAACTCTGTTGGGAAGAAATGTTAAAGGAACCGGTGGCTTCCCTTAACTGTAGGCCTCCTAAAATCCTTGGCCCCTGCAAGATGGATCAACCATTCCATTGCCTGTTTGGGGTGTAGATGGAACTAACAAAAACAGACATAGTGAAGAATCGTCTTGGTTCCCATTTTTTGCAGCACTTATGGGACCTGAAGTCATCCGATCGACCAGTTGCTGACCACCATGTTCATGGTCACATGACATAGGCCACACAAAGGGGCAGGAAAATTTCTGTTACGTATGACAAATTGTTCTGGCACGCCTGAGTTTATTGTTGCCAAGACAACATGTCGCGCGAAGATTTATCGGTGGAAAGTGAAGGGACGAGGAAATAGTTCGTTACCGATAAGAGATTTTTGCTGATGGGCGCGCGGTAGTTGCACACAGTGTGAAGCTGTTCCGCCACCTATGAGATCTTGAAACTACATAAACCTAGCCAGCTGGACCAAAATCGAGGAACAGAGGAAGGCAATACATACCGAAAAATGCTCAACTTCACTATGGTCAATAGTACAGCATTGTACAAAGTTGAGTATTTCGGAGATGACTCGGAGAAGGATGTTTTCAGTTCAACTACGAACGCCATTTTTTGATAATACATTTGGACAAGAAAGTCATAGCACCATGTGAAAGTATTCGATTTTCTTTATTCGAACAGACGAAACAGACGGAAGTAGCCATTCACGCCAGACTGGGTTCGGTTAATTTCTAGTCTACAGTTGGTCCTGGTAAGCAGTAGACCCAATAGGAGTTGGTCACAATGTAGACTACTTTTAATCCGGCTGTGCGTTCACCATAGCCCTACTAGAAAACTTTTGTTCGCACTACTAAACGATGACCGTTTCCAACCCATGTGCCAAATGGGCTGAATTCTTTGCGTTTGCCAGAATAGCCATAATAGCTTCCAGTTGGAAACAAAAATGATAGTTTCTTTTTCAATATTATAGTTGTATAGCACTTATCCTCGCTTCTCATTCCAACGTTAGTGTGTTAGTGCCTGATAGGTTCCAGAGCTGGCTGTGCAATCCCACAGAAATATTGCAGAGTTGTAAGTGACTCGAGGTATGACGGATATCTAACTACACATGACTTTTTGTGTTCACTTGTGTGAACATAGGATTTGGAGACCAAAAATAATGCTTTACCTATTCCCCAATCGGCGAACTGCTGCTCAACCCCTTCGCAGTTCATTGCGGATGATGGCTCCATCGCTTTATCGCAAGAGAAACCGCAAAAGACGAGGCTTGTGATGCGTCATCTCATGTACTCATAAAGTAAGAAAATGCTCAAAGTCAGTGACTTAAAAGTGGAAGTATTTTATAAAGGCATGCCAGTTATGCAGAGGTTCTTTTCACCGGTAGCCATCCAAATACGAACAAAACGTTTCAGGGTAATAATGACTAGGATATTGCCACTTCGAAAGTTTTATAAAAGAACAAGCGCATTGTTTCGGTGCTCCGTCAAATGGTTAGGAGGTAGATGGCTTCCCTTGGACCCAGCTTCATG